CAGCCCATGCCCCCCCCCCTCCCTCCCGGGGGGCCGCCCCGGCAGCCGTGGATCTAGGGGAGAAGGAGAACGCGTTCGGCAGTGTGTGGAGCCGGATTCGGGGGGCACGGAGCCGGATTCGGGGTGCACGGAGCCAGATCCGGGGTGCACGGAGCCGGATTCGGGGTGCATGCATGAGCTGGTGTTAAGAACAGCCCAGGGTCCCTACCATGCGTCAATTAAAGAGAAGAAAAGCAGGGAGAAGGCAGCAGATAATCCCTCGCAGAGGAGAGAAGGGCCGCTGGGTGCAAGCCGGTTCCCGTAGCGCCAGCCGGCGTTGCAGCCTCGCTGCAGGACTCATGCGTGATCAGCTTTGCTTGCACAGGGCTCAGCAAGACACTTGGACGTTTTACCGCTTCTCTTCCCCTAAAAAACTCCACAGCTTGCTGCAGTTTTTATTCCTCTGCCTCTCTGGCAGTCCCGCTCACTTGACATAAAGCAAGCAGCCCCGCCATGGCTGAACACTCCCCGTCTTCCCTGCACCGGGACTCAGTGCCCTCGTCTCAGAAATCAAATCTGATGACAGACGGCCGATGGGGCTGCTCAGCACTCCCAACACCCCACGGTTTGTGTTGCCAGCCTGCCAGCCCCAGCTCTCGGGATCCCACAGCTCTCTATTCCTTTCCCCACGATAAGGACAACTCAGAAAGGGTTCTCCTGGTCATTCTGCTCCTGAGACATCGAGAAACAATTTCTAAGGGCTGTCACAGCCAGCGAAAACCGTCGAGGCACAACTCCATCCATCACTCAGCCAAGAAGATGCCCTCAGCTGATCACCTCGCCTCCTCCGTGGTGTAATTACCTCTTTCCTCTCCACGTCAGCCTGAATTTTGGCTTGTGTGACAGCAGCCTCGCGGAAGGAGGAGCTGGCCTGCTTGGCCTGTTCGATGAGAGTCTTCAGCTGCTGGGCCGTGCTGAGCAAGGAATTGACCATCTCTTCCAAGTAAAGCCAGCTGCGCTGCTCCGTCACTTCCAGCCCGTTCACCACCGACGGCGAAATGGCTTTGGTGGGGGTCGCGGGGGGCACCGCCAGGGCAGGGAGGGAGGTCAGCACTGAACAGAAAGAAAGAAGATGAAAACACACAGAATTAGGGCGTTTCATTTCCATAAAGCGGTGGGGGTTTGGTGGAGTTTTTTGGTGACTGTGTTGTTTGCTTGCTTTTTTAAAAAAATACGGTCAGCACGGATTTCCAGTCCTGCTGAGTTTTTGCTAAACAGACCTACCCTCTGTGACCCCACGTAAAGAGGATGGGTCTGTGCTGAACAAGCCCTCAGGGCTCTCTCAGACCCAGAGGACAGAAGAACACGTACTCCTGACCCTACTCTTGTCCTCCTGACCCTACTCTTTACTCTGGGGAGGAACTAACACCTCCAGAGGCACAATTAAGCAGTGAAAGCAGCATTCCCAGGACTATCGCTAAGTAAGGTTATAATAAGTCATTCAGTGACTCAATGCTTTTCTGAAACATCCTGCTGTCACCCCCTAGATGTCAATTCTCAGGCTGTAAAACTACAAAAAAGAGGCACCACCACCCTCACCCATACTTCCTGATTTCTGATCTCAACCATAACCCCGGCCCAAGATCGGAATAAAGCCGGCGTTAGAAAATTCAAGTCCTACAAAACTAACAATGTCTGTCACAGCCTTACCTTTGCAAACGTTTCAGACAAAATAACGCTTATTGTGTCACTGAAACATCTGCTTTTCACAGCACTAGGGCTGCACGTACACCGGGAGACCACAGTACGAGGAAACTAAACCTACATCCAGGAACCCAACATCGCCCTCACGCAACATTTCCAGGAACAAACGTGATCTGTTTTTGCTGGCCTTGCTTTGCCAAGTGTAACTCTAACTCTAGCGACAAATACTCGCCATTTGCCATAAAATTAAGTCCAAAACAGTCCCAGCTATCGAGAACTGACCTCCAAATTCAAAGAAAATGCCCAAGCAACGTCCTCGAGAGTCTGCAGCACGACTGGGGAGCGCCCCACAGAGAGCTGTCACTGCTGGCTTCTGGCCACTGGTCCCATTAAAATGCACCGTTTTTGGAGCCAGACTCTCCCTTGATACTAGTTTAAAAACTAACTCAACAGGAAGTTCTTGAACAAAATGTAGAGGCTGAAATGCCGGAAAGGCACTTTATTCGCAGGTTGGACGGGGCTTGGAGCAACCTGGGCTGGTGGCAGGGAGGTGTCCCTGCCCACAGCTGGGGGGTAAATGCACCATTTTTGGAGCCAGACTAACTCAACAGGAAGTTCTTGAAGAAAATGTAGAGGCTGAAATGCCGGAAAGGCAACTTTATTCTCAGGTTGGACGGGGCTTGGAGCAACCTGGGCTGGTGGCAGAGAGGTGTCCCTGCTGGTGGGTTGGAACGAGATGATCTTCAGGGTCCCCTCCAGCCTTAACCAGTCTGTGATTCTACAATTCCACTCTCCTGTCTGTCTCCCTTCGCAACCCGGGTCAGGTGTCATTGCAGATTTTGGCTTCCCAGTCATGTCGCTGTCTGAAGTTGTTCCAAAAAGAACGGCACAAAGAAGCCCCAAACCTCACTGAGGGAAGGGGACACAGCCCAGTTAGAGACATAGAAAGGGAGAACTCCCTCATTCAGGAAAAATTCTTCCTGATTACATGTCAAACGGTGCTTAAAATTCGCCTTTAAATACTGTCCTGACCAGCAACAGCCAATCCACTGCTCCAGCAGCTTCGCTCCCAGCCCTCTCCCCTCCTTAGGAAAGCATCTGCAGACAAGCAAGACTCCTTGCAAGGCTGCCCTCAGCACCCAAAACCTTCCAAGGCAGCAGCTAATTTAAATGTTTTAACACTTTAATCCTCTTCAAACCGCATCTGGGAGGTTTTCACACAAGCAGCAAAAGCTGCAAAAACGGAGCCCGGATTCGGAGAGGACAGGTCCGAGACCCTGCGGTGCTGCGGGAACCCCCGTGTTCCACGTGCGACCTTTTCTGGTCACCATCCAGGTAAATGGACATTTTATGCTCAACAGCCCTTAATTAAAATAGTAATTTCAATCTGTTTGCACACGACTGGTGTAGAACTATTTGCACTCAGATATGAGTGAGAGATAAACCTGTTTTTTTTATCAGGAGCTGTTTGCAGAAGAGCCTCTCCCGCTGCTACATTTCCAGCACAATATTTAACCCAGCACGGCGTTTGATAACTTATCTAAGAGGAATTATTTCCGATTCCTCACTTTGGCATAGGTTTATCAGTTAAGAGGGAGTATTGACTGGTGAAAAAAATAAAGATTGATGTTTAATTAGCAACATCAAGATCTGACTAAGACTTCAAACCAACAAGATTTCATTCTGGACAGAGCATGAATGCACCGCGCTGCTCCAAAGAAGTCCAGGCTCATTAACAACACCTAAAGCCAGAACAACACCCCAGGTTTGCAATTCCAGTTCCTTCGACACTTCCAGTTTCTCCCCGCACGGGCAACACTCAAATGGCATCACAGTTCGCTGAGTTTATCAGCCAGCAAAAGAAAACTGGAGAGTAAAGCAGAGCCCGGCAAACTAAGCGCATTCTGGGGTAAAACGTACCGATTTTGGGGTGAGCTGTCGGCAGCGCGGCTTCAGGGAAAGGTGAGATCTGGCAGTTGTCCTGGTAACTCGGGTAGTGAGGCTCGGGGTGAGCGACCCGGCACGGCTGCTGCACGTTGGTGTCCTGAACTGCAGAACAACGGCGTTAATGAACGACGCGGCTCTCAGGCACTTCTTAACGCTGCTTTCACCCGCGCTTTTTTCTACATTTTATCCAAATTTCTATACACTGTGATAATCCCGCGGGTTGCAAACGAGAAGCAGCAGCACAATCTTACACAACCAGCCGGTCAGGAGACCTCGTGGTGATTTTGTCTCTCTCTGCTTTCACTTTTAAAGGCAAAGA